TCAACAGACTCATACACCTCTAACAGGGAACATTCTCAAAACATTGTTTAATGTTCTTGCAAGATTCTCTCAAACTTATGACCAAACATTCTACCAGTAACATTATTAGAATGTTCATTCAGAGTTATTTGATCTTTAATAATGTTCTCAAAATGGTAGCGCAAGAATAGTATATTTATTCATTGTTCAACTAAAACGTTTTAGTTGGACATTTGTTTAACACTTTTTAAATGTTACTATGTTTCAGAATGTTCAGAGAGCATTGATGTGACATAATGTTCCCATAATGTTTGCACAACCCCCCAAATAAATAAATAAAATAAAATGTTTTAAAAAAACTGGATTTTTCGAACGTTCAGAGAACATTCAGAAATAAAGTTTTCAAACAAAAATGTTCTAAAAATTTTAGCACAAAATTTCACATTGCACATGAAACATTCACACACATTGCGCGTGCAGACGCAGAAGAGGGAAACGCGCCGGCGCCCTGGTGAAGCTCCGCGCGCGCGGCTTTCGGACTGCGCTCCCAAGCATTCATCTCGCGAATGTCCGTTCCCTTCCTAACAAAACGGATGAACTTCTTCTCCTCACCCGCACCAACAAGGACTTTTCAAACTCTTCTGCACTGTGCTTCACTGAAACCTGGCTGAGTGAAGCCATTCCGGACAACGCGCTTCATCTGCCGGGCTTCCAGCTGTTCAGAGCGGATCGCATCGCGGAGTTAACGGGGAAAACCAGAGGTGGTGGATTGTGTTTCTACATCAACGAAAGTTGGTGTTCAGATGTAACAACGCTGAAAAAGGTATGCTGTCCTAATTTAGAGGCACTCATCATAAACTGTAAACCGTTCTACTCGCCGCGGGAGTTTTCCTCTTTCATTCTTGTGAATGTGTACGTGCCTCCGGACGCGTGCGTGAGCGCCGCGATGCAACAGCTGGCCGAACAAATAACTGAAATGGAGCAAAGGTACCCAGACTCTATTTTAATCATTCTTGGAGACTTTAACAAATCAAATCTCTCCCGTGAACTGCCAAAATACAAGCAGCACATTACGTGTCCACCAGAGACAGCACTATTTTGGATCACTGTTACACAGCAATAAAGGATGCATATCACTCTGTCCCACGAGCAGCTTTGGGGCTCTCTGATCACTGTTTAGTTCATCTAATACCGACCTACAGGCAGAAACTGAAATCAGCTAAACCTGTATTAAGGACTGTAAAAAGATGGACTAATGAAGCAGAGCAGGATTTACAAGCTTGTTTCGACCTCACTGATTGGAGTGTCTTTGAAGCTGCAGCCACCGATCTGGACGAGCTCACAGAGACTGTAACTTCATATATCAGTTTCTGTGAAGATATGTGCATTCCTACCAGGACATTCTTATCATTTAATAACGATAAACCGTGGTTTACTGGAAAACTCAAACAGCTTCGTCACGCCAAAGAGGATGCTTACAGAAGTGGGGATAAAATCTTATTTATCCAGGCCAGGAACAGATTAACAACGGAGATCAGAGTGACAAAAAAAAACTGCTCTAAAAAGCTGAGAAAAGAGCTTTCAGCAAACAATCCAGCGTCAGTATGGACTGGTCTGAGGAACATCACCATGTACAAGACACCACCCCCACAGCTTGCGGAGAATCAACAACTGGCTGACGATCTGAATGTGTTTTACAGCAGATTTGAAAAGGATCGTCTACCACCCCCCATCCGCTCTGATCTGCACTTCACACCTTCACCTACCACCCCTGCAACCCCCCTCCCTCCCTCCTCCACCATTCAACCTGTGCTTAAGGTCTGTGTAGAGGATGTGAACCGGGTCTTCAGGAAGCAGATCTGATTCTGATTCTGAAATATTTTTCTGTAACATATTAGATCAATGTTCATCTAGCATTTTTTAAAATGTTACGTGACAATAAACGCTTAACTTCTTTCAGAACCTTCAGAGAACATTCGACTGTAAAGGCTGGAACACACTACACAATTTTTGCCTCGATTTTCTGCCAATTTACAGTCTGGAGAAGCTGATACTAGTTGCCGAAAGTCAGAGCCAGTCTGCAGATTTGAGCTGATAGATTTGACTGAAAATCACATAGTGTGTGATGATTTTTTTATCTTCAGACTATGAATCTATCCAGTTGCAGGATATCAGATATGTTGATATATTTGAGCTGATTTTAGAACACATATTGCTTTCATTTGTCATGCTGCATCTAGCAGTTTCTGCGTGAGTTTGTTGTGATCTGAACCACTTTAAAGTCTGGTAGTGTATGATCCTTAGTCGTTTAGTGTATGATCGCCAGTTTTTCCTCTGTGATTATTACAAAGTCGGTTAAGTGTATGATGCCCAATGTTTTAAAGGCTGGTCAGATTTTGAAAGTCATGTAGTGTATTCCCCCCTTAATGTTCCCATAATGTTTGCAAAATTCTAAAATAGAATGTTCCCTTAACATTCACATAACCATAACAACATTTTAAACATTTAAAAAACAGGATGTTTTCAACGTTCTGCGAACATTCAGAAATAACATTTTCCAAACTTATCGTGGATCGTGGATGATCTTAGAACATATTTTTGTTAGCTGGGTATGGAACACTTTTATGTAGGTTTTTTTTTTGTGTCCGTTTTGGAGCTAAACAAGTTTCCTATGAACCGTCACTGTATAAGAAAATAGCTATATGACAGTTCTTCAAAGATTTTCTTTTTTCCACAGAAAAATAACAGCAAATATGGATTTGGAATGACATGAGGGTGACTAAATAACATAATTTTCATTTTTTTCAGCTATTACTTTAACATTTCAGAAGTGTGTGTGTAATAATCCCTCGGGCTGTCACAGATCCTAGCACCACCCCCATCAAAAAAAAAACTTCTCTGCGTCTCCTCCATGCACTCCAGCACATCAATCAGCAGATGGGCACCTCACCAGCCTCCCACAGGCACTTGCAACCATCAAACACATTCACACTGATTTTCCATCCTAAAAATAAACAGAAAGTATTATTTTGCCACACCCATGGTATTATTAATAAAAGTTTATTACAGAAGCGTTGAACAGTCAGTCTTATAAACTGTTTGAAGCACAGATTCAGAGGACACAGTATATGACACAGACAGAGAAAGCTCATTCAGACTTACACATAAAACAACATGACAAATAACCTGCCACTGAGTGTATTAGCTTGCTTAGCATTGTGGGTATTGACACCAACTTGGTGTTTATGAGTGACAGATTTACACAGATTACGCAGGTTAAACATCCCAGATAAACTGATCACAAGCCAGGTAACTACAATGATCTAGACACAGAGCCAAACAACAAATGCAAAGATTGCTGTTTTTTATTAATGAATTTTTCACAGGTACTACTAAATAGTCCAAATTAATTTTATATTTAGTTTTGGAAAGATAAAAAGAGGTCACTTTGCCATTTGAATTTGTTGAGGCCCTGTGAAAATGGACAGTTATTAGCACATGTTGTGGGATATTACATATAATATTAATAGTCTGAAGTCAATACTGAGAAAACATTAAGATAACATTAAACAAATACACACACACAACTGACACATTTAAAAGAATACATATATCATAAATAACACTGACATTTAACTATTTGATCATCTGAGCTTTACTCCCAAACAACTAAGTGCTGGTTAGTACAGTAACTATTTGTTTGGCTCATTATGGTTTCAGAAAAACATAAAGATGTTCATGTTACAAGACGACATCGCTACAACAAGTTTTCAGTCACAAACCTGATGAAAACACAGACTAAAGTGCTCAGGTAATTGAAGGCCATGGAACATTAGCTCTTTATCTCGAGGTCCATTAATTTTATCATTAATGACCAAAATTAGATTTAAAATAGATGGGGTGTTGCTGCAACTCTGTGTTACAGGCAAGATTATTTTGAGCATGATGTTAAGAACGTTTTAATAAAGTTGACCAGACATGATTAATCAATGTGCTTGAGATATTAAAATACACCATACAGAAATGTAGCATAATGAACCGCCATATTTCAACGGATGATTCCAAAGGGAGCAGCAGCACTGCAATGACACAGCAAGACATATTTAAGATGACCTGAACACAAAAAGGTGAGCAATTTTCTCATATACAACAAAAATGTTTCTTTGTTGAAATACACCTGTCCTATAGTTTGTTCATCATTAGCAGACAACAAAAACCAGATGCTGGCAGTTCAACAGCGTTTCCTTTTTGTATCATCACTCACAACTACACGACAAGTGGTGCGTGGGTATTCACAAGTGAACATTTTGGAAAGGGGGGGGGGGGTGCAAAAGTCTTGACATGGCAGTTTTGCTTGCGTCACGTGACGTGGGTCGGCTGTATAGTCTGTTGAGCTGGTTTCATGGCTTTTGTTGGGAGATTAGTAGAGCACACACAGAGGGGTGATAGGTCCAGTCTGCTGCGGCAGAGATGGCCTCAGCAATGCAACACTGACAAATATGACCAAACCTGACCAGACCCCACAAAATTCCTAACCATACCTTATTTAAAAGCGGGGTCCGTAGAGCTTCAAATCCACCGTTGGTATGCATCAGCCAGTTGACTGACTCTGGGATTTTTTATTGGCATTTTTTCCTGTCCATCACTGGTCATTCGTGACCGAAGAGGGGCGTAAGAAAGCATCTTTTACGCGACTCTCTGTGGCCCCCTCCAATGAACCCCCACCTCGAGTCAAGGAGCGTCATCTGCCAATACAGTAAGTCAATGGTGAAGCTTTGAGAGAATTTCAAACCAGCGTGTTTCACCGTTTGCCGTGTTCAGGTGGTTAGTTGGTTCTTTAAATGTGATGCTGTTGGTTCACACATAACCACAATGGGAAGGTCATGGAGCTGCAGTGGAGGAGGGAGATGGTAAAAGGTGTTGATTGGGAGAAATGGTACTGAGAGAAGAGAGATCTCTTGCCTCCGCTCTCCCGTTCTTTCTTTATCCCATCGTCATAATTTTTTCCTGTCCATCACTGGTCATTCGTGACCGAAGAGGGGCGTAAGAAAGCATCTTTTACGCGACTCTCTGTGGCCCCCACCAATGAACCCCCACCTCGAGTCAAGGAGCGTCATCTGCCAATACAGTAAGTCAATGGTGAAGCTTTGAGAGAATTTCAAACCAGCGTGTTTCACCGTTTGCCGTGTTCAGGTGGTTAGTTGGCTCTTTAAATGTGATGCTGTTGGTTCACACATAACCACAATGGGAAGGTCATGGAGCTGCAGTGGAGGAGGGAGATGGTAAAAGGTGTTGATTGGGAGAAATGGTACTGAGAGAAGAGAGATCTCTTGCCTCCGCTCTCCCGTTCTTTCTTTATCCCATCGTCAGGTGACAATGATCGTGATTGGTTCACCTCTCACAATGGTGCAGGGTAAAACTACCTGAACTTTTCTGTTCCCCGATGCTCCATGGCTCCAGATCCTCTTCCTCATCATCGTCTTCATCCTCCTCTTCTTCATAGTGGCTGGGTTCTTCAATGGAGCTCTCCATGTGGTAGCAATAGGGCTGACCCTCTGTGTACTCATAGATGGTGGGCAGACTGCCCTTTAGACTACAGCGTCGCCGTAGGGCCACCAGAAGAGGCTGAGAACAGAGTAGAAACAATTTAAAAACTTTTGAGTTACATTTACCTACAGATAATATCTGAAGAATGTCTATTGTCTGGATGTGGGTTACAGAAAATCATGGAGTCTCCTTAAATTTATTTCTTATATTAGATGAGATACCAGCAGTACTTGAATGATCATCTGTTACTTAACATTGAAAGTTGGTTAAAAAGTTCTAAAATTATTTGAACAAAGAAAATATTTCGACAAAGGTCAAACTAAATGAGAAGTGTACAGTAAAAATATTGGTAACGCACTTCACAATATAGTTCAATTTTTTTACATCAGTCAATGCATAAGGTATCATGAACTATCAAAAAGCAACAAAATGTATTAATCTAGGTCAATTCTATTGATAATTGTTAAATCATGTTTATTTATAAATGCATTATATATATATATATACGTGCATACACATCGTAAAATGTATACTGTAGAAATGAACAGGAACCAATAAAAATGATGTATAAGTATTGTTCATTGTTAGTTCAGGATACATAATGCACCAACTACTGATAACACATTGATGCTTTTCTCCTCAGGGAAAACTAGTCCCATCCAAATAGGACTTTAATCAACTGGTTCACCCTGCCAGTTGAAAATGGTGAGTGAAAACATATAAAACAAATATTTATCTTGCATAAACTGATTCATCCAAGTAGAACATGTTCCTGGATCAACATCCTTGATGTTCTTGGTACAACATTACAATCAGCCAATAATATTTTATGTTTTGGGTCTCTGAATTAGCCTCAAAAGTAAGGCTATGACTGTTTGTCAGCGAATATTGCTCCAGGAGCATCAAGTATGTCCTACAAGGCTAATCCATGTTGTACCTCTTATAAAGTAGGCAACATGTCTTGTAGTACAACCGTGTTTTACCCAAAATAAAGCATTTATCTCAGTGTAATTATTACAATAAGGGGAACTGTAATTGATTTTAAGATTCTGTTGTTTTACCTGTGGCATGGTAAATATGTCCACGTTGTTGCCCAGGTCAGCCCAGGCAAGACAACTGAACTTCTTGGAATCTTTGAGGGCTTCAGTCAGATCTTTAAGGATGCCAAGAGTCAGACGGTTCCCATTGAGAGCCAGTGTTGTGAGTTTGAGCAATGCACCCAGGAAGGGCAGAAGTAGACGTAGGCCCTCGTCCCGGAGCTCAGTGAAACTAAGATCTACGGATATCACAGCGCCCCCACTGGTCTGGAGGTAATACGCCACATGCCGTATGTCGCGAGTTGATAAAGGGATGCCAGACAGGTCCACAGAGTCACTGCAGAGCTTCTTCTGAAGTGTTGTTTTAAGACTAAAAAGTGAAAGAAAAAAAATGATACACTGAGGAATTCAATGAGAAAACTAAAAACAGATATACAAGCATTGGGGTGATTTGAACTGTAAATCTGATCATTTATAACAAATAAGGAAGTGTTGTAGCTTTAAGAAAATAGGATTTGGATTTTTGGTCTTTATTGAAATTATTGAAGCAGTTACTTTTCAGTACTTCAAATTACAGGAAAAAGGATAAGAAGGCTGCTGTGGTGGGGGAAGAGTTTGGGATAGTTTTGCGCTCAAACTCATCCTTTGCCTTTGGAATTTGATTATTTCATAATCGTATGCAAGTAATTTTACTCTCTAGTACATTAGTGTGATTAAAGAAGCAGCTTTTCGGAAGAACACTGCAGATATAAAACAAGAAACAGGAATAAAGAACTGAGTACACAGTCTGTTATTGATTGTCATCTGTCTTTGCCAAGTCGTGAGAAGCATGAGTTGCCACTATCTATGTAAATTGCATCTTTATTGTATCTATACTGATAAACATCTATTCAGTGAATATTATCCTTTGCAATTATTTGTTCAACGACTTAGAGTCATGCACTCTCAGAAAAAAAAACTGTCACTTGGGCAATACCCTATAAGGTACAAAAGCTACATATTACCTTAAAGGTACATATTAATATTTTAAACGTACATATTAGTAGGCCTACTTTAAAAGTACATATTAGTACCTAAATTGTACATATTAGTATTTTTTGAAAGGGTACCGCCCCAGTGACTATTTTGTACCTCTTTTTTGACCACAAATTGGTCATGTCTTGTCTTTGCCTAACTGAACCTTCTGTTTCTTCTTTTTGAGTCATTATTTGGTGAATGTTTAGTCTATTTGCAAGGCACAAACAATTTTCAGCATGAAAAGTCTTCTCAGGTACTCTGTGATGCATAGTAGTCTCATGAATCAGTAATCAGTGACTTCCTCGCACGAGTTCATGCTTCTAATTTATGCATGAACATATGGGATGTCTTTGAGTATGCAAGTCAAATACTGTACATAAGAACATAGATGTACTGTACCAAAGTAGCACTGGGGAAACATACAGTCTGTAAGAGGAGATAATATTAGAGCTCTATAAGAGACTGATAAAACCTCCTAAAGTATGATTTTTCTTCTCAAACCATTTCTGAAGTAAGGTTCATAGTCAGAGTTCACTATTGTTCTGCCAAATACTGGATCCCTGCCGCTGGTGAAAGCTGCTGTTATGATTTTTGTTTGTTTGTTTCTTATGATGTTTGCAGGCAGCAGACAGAATCAGTGCCTTTCTGCTCACCCAAAATAAATCTTTTTTACACTCTCAAAACAGTTCCAATGAACAGTTGATAAGACATCCATATTTAGTTCAAAGTCTAGCATTCAACTGAACTGTACTTTTTAGATTTGAATATTAGACTAATCAAAGCCTGCTCATCTGAATGGAAAAGAACAGGATTATACAAAAAATACAAAAAGATAAGAATGTTCATTAGGAGGTGTAATTCAATACAAAACATACTTTCCCAGTCTAATTTGCAAAGTTAAACAAGTAAGCCATTCCCTTATGAAAAAGAAGTGCACTTATAATTGTAATGAATGTGCAGTTGTACTTAAACTCTTAGAAGTTTCAGATAATATAATATTAATGAAACAAAAGGCCATTGTACTTAAAGAGCATACAATTTAAAACTGTATTTATTAACAAACTTGTAAAAAGTGCAATTTGTAATGTGAGAATAAAAGTTTTTTTAAGTACATTTTAAATTATTTGGCTTTAATCTTTTATTGTGTTTTACAGACATGCAATTATTTTGACATGTTGACTAACATACTATACTAATATAACATACTAAGCACCTATAAAGTACTTATTTATATTTTTAACTGTTTTCTGATATTACAGTGCATTTACTTTACATTTACTTCACTAAATGGCAACTTAATGCATTTCCATTTAATTTACATAACATGCAATTAAGTGTCTGAAAACATTACATTCATTTCACCATTAACTAAATATATTATTTCCATAATAAGTACTCTTTTTAAAGGCATGCTAAAGTGTACTTTCACAAGGGTTTCTCAGTGTCTCTGTGGTGCCTATAAAGAACTGATCAGTTTGTATGAGGATCTAGACTAGCGTGACAACCAAAAATATGAGTCTGGGGCGTGGCTATCTATTTGGTTGACCAATGGCAGATGGGGGCATGTTCAGGAACCCTTTTTTAAAACATTATTTTTCCAATTCCATTTGGTGCCAGTAATGGTACCAAAATTATACGCTTCACCTTTAAAACCAACTAAAATGTTTATGCTTACACAAGATACTTTTATTTATTTATTTTTTAAATGAAGTGAATATCAGGAAAGATGCTCCTGTCAAAAGAGTAGCGTTCCTCCCCACCTCAGTCCTCTATCCAGCACCATTTCCATCTCTGTGCCAGCGTGTGTGCTTCATTTTGACCCGGTTCCATTAACAGGATCAATAAAATGCAAACACAGACATACATCCACTTGAAAATCACTCAGCTCCACAGATGTACATGATACTTTCGTCATGATTTGGGTCACATGGTAACAATGAAGAGATTGAAATGGAAATAGGGATGGTCCTGTAATATATAATGCCACACTAACCACAGGACAGAGATCAAAAGAATACTCATTTGCTGAGGAAGCACACACACATATACACCCACACTGAGATGCAAATGTATTATTAAAATCCTCTCAAAGGCTGATATCTCCTCATGAAATCCCACTGACAGTCTTCCTCTATTTTCCTATGACTGGTAGCAGGTGGCATCGCTCTTCTGTGTTTGGGACCCAATTCAATTTATTTGCCAAATATAACTCCAGGTCCAAACCCCCTGGGGATTGTGCTGTATACGAGTATCCACAGGCTTTATTTTGACATACAGTGGTTCTTTTAAGCTTGCTGCCTCATTTTTGCTAACTCACACGGCAATCTGCTCTGCCTTTAAACAGTGACATTTGAGGGATCTTTGTGATTAAATAGCAATAGGTTGGCCCATGAAAAGACTGCGTGCTTTGATGAAATGCTGAAGAATTTCTTTGAAGATGCTTTAGGGATCAATTTAGATAAAAAGTCAGCAGGGAGGTGCTTTTGAGAGAAAATTTGATTAGTCTGACCTGTCAAACTTGCTTCAGATTTGAATTATTTAAAGGCAAGGACAAATTGGTTATTCAAATTTTATTTTTTTTGCATTTTGCCATTTTAAGCATTGAAAAAAGTTAAATAAAAGTAAAAAAAAACAAAAACAAAACAGCAAAACATTTAAAGAAATAGCCCACCGAAAAATGAACATTTTCTGAAAATTTGCTCACCCTTAGATTATGTAGATGAGTTTGTTTCATCATCTGAACAGATTTAGAGAAATGTAACATTACATCACTTGCTCACCAATGGCTCCTCTGCAGTGAATGGGTGCCGTCAGAATCCAAACAGCTGATAAAACATCACAATAATCCACACAACTCCAGTCCATCAGTTAACATCTTCTGATGTGAAAAGAACTGTTCAAACCATTGCTTCTCGTTAAAATATGAGTTCTCGATCCATAATATTGCTTTCTCCACTGAAAAAGTCATTTCATCTGAATCAGGTGAGAAATCTGTTCTGATGAAGAAGCAAACTCATCTACATCTCGGATGGCCTGAGGTTGAGTTCATTTTTGGATTAACTATTTCTTTAAACATTCTTAAAACAGGATCAATTTACTTGAGGAGCACAATTGTCTACAATGTTTTGTTCTTGTTTTAAAGCGTAATCTCAATATACGTGAGATATTTTTACTGAAAAATAAGAAAAATACTGATTGATCATTTTTTAAATAGTTTTTTTGTGTGATGTGCTGTATGTTGTCAAAAGGTGAACTGTGAATTTCAGGTTGTGATACCTAAACTACAGCACAAATGTGCCATCTGTGCCACTGCAGGATGGGTAAAAGAATAATAAAAGTCATTTTAATGTGTTATTTATCTATTTATTGTTCTCGCAACCAGGTGCCAGTTTGAATTACAGTCACTTCGGGCTCACTTCACGTTCTTTGGCAACCAGCAGCTATGAGTGACATTCATTTTCCTTTCTGTCAGCTTTCGTACGATCACAGACACTAAGCATTCTGCACTCAGACGCTACCAATGTCTGTTCCCTCTGCACCACTTTTCTAGTCTACAGAAATATGTGAGTTCTGAAACACATCGAAGCATCAATAGAAAGACAAGATTGCTCAGCCCTCATTTTCTCCCTCCAGTCTTCCCTGACGTGTCTGATTCAAGCCTCACTCCATTTTGTTTGTACAGAGTCATCAATGATGCAAAATACCTCCATTATTAATTCTGGCCTAAAGGTACATTCGTCGTCTTCTCTATTTTCTTTCACTCTTTCAGTAAGTACCCTGCTGGACTTTCATCCCCTAATCCAATATTACATATCTGCTGCCAAAAAAGTTTTTAAACTGAACATAATATAACTACTTAAAATAATCACAAGCATCAATCTGCCATGAAAATCCCCCAAATGAATAGCCTCAAAGGCATAATATTATTTTGGCAGATGAGTAAACCATTGAACAGACTTTACAGAAAGTGTCTACATGCTTTTTTTTTCTACAAATGCACACTTTGCATTAATTATTATGCTAAATTGACAGTCCAACTAAATATATCACAATTACAGATGTAAGAGGGAAGGATATTTCCATATTATTCTGATACCTCTGGCAAGAAGAATTCACTGAATCTTTTCTGCTTTACTGGCATGTTACACAATCAGTAATCAACAGGCTCTTCTCTTCTCGCTCATCCCAAATTGCTTCATTTAAGGTATAAAATCGCCCTTTTAGCACCTATGTCAATCTGATTTTGATCACAAAGGGTTGAAAAGAGGCAAGCAGCATAGCTTAACGTCTCCCTAATCATGAACAGCTTGTTCATTAAAAAGCAAATATGCAAATCTGAACAAGAACACAAAA